GTAAAATAAATTTAATCATGTGAAAAAGCTTTGTCGAAACACTGAAAATAGTGTAAAAATAGAACATCACAAGGTATATCAATACAATATGTTTCTAAAATACTCTGTTTTAAAGTTCTCCTCTACTGATCGTGATGTACAGAATAATCGTAATTACAATATCTATCTATCTATCTATATACATACATACATATATATATATATATACATATACACATACATACATATACTTTAGTAGTTAGCACCAGGTGACGGGGCACTGCAGTAATCTGAACGAGACGTAAGTTGTTTTATTATTTAGTTTAAATATAAGCGTAATCATAAACTTAAAAAGTTAGATTTTCGGTATTCGTTTTTACTTAAACTGTTAAAGATGATTGACATTCAGGACGAAATGATTCTTATTTTTAATTACTATGTGTTTGAGAAAGACGCTTAGCTGTGAAGACTGAAAATGATAGGATGTGGAAATAGAAATGTCTCGGACTAAGCGTACACTTAAACTTTAAAGTTGTTCCTGTTACTAATACTAATAGTATTACTATTAGGGGAGCCGGGGTTAGGACAGAGTTAGGCTTATAGCCTATAGATAATCTTAACATTTCATAAACGTGTTCGACTATGTATGTAATGTATAATAGTTAAAATATATTTTTTTAAATTCAGACTCAGATGTAATACTATTAGTATTAGTATTATTGTTACTAGGGGTGAAATTCTAAAATAATAAAGGTAGAGGTATTCAGCTGGGTGAAGTGGACGTATTTTTTAAAACGAAAAAACAAAAACAAACTATGTGTAAACATAAAAAACGACAATTTGAGTGTCAATGAATAAATGCTTTTAAAATGTACATATCTTGGTACACAGCAGCTCAAATAAGTCCCGGTACTTGTACCACCTTAAATTATAAGTTCTGGTACTAAATAAAATTTTCTACCACCAGCAGCCAAGACTATTACCCTTAGTAATGAGCTATTAATCAAACTTTTGTTTTTACTCAATTTTAGTAGCATAAATGAAGTACAATGAATAATGTATTCATAGTTTTATTATTCAGAAGCAATGTTTTCACATGTTGCAAAACTCTACACTTATTCACAAATGTCAGGAAATTATTTACTTTTACATTATTGTAATGTAATTTTGTGAAAAGACATCTGAAAATCAAAGGATGTTATCATTCCCAGTAAAATGTATGCAAACCAATTACCACAATAAATTGACACTTGTTTCTGTGTGATTAGAATGTTGTGAGCTTCAGCAGTAGGGCCACCTGATGAGCTTTTTAAAACATTGGTTTGAATCTTATAATAAGAATATCACTGAATAACAGATTCCTTCTGTAAACTTAACTGTAAATGTAGTGTCACATAAGGCATAATATATGAACCAAAGACTTTTGCCAGAGCTTTTACTAAATGTGCATTTACAGTTGTCTTTTTATTCTATGGTTATATGAACAAAATGTAATTTTTTCATTTTCTGTACTCAGTTATACATGTAACTGTTATAAATAAACATTATATATATATATATATATATACTGATGTCTTTAGGCCAAGAGGTAAAGCTAGTTTTATGCAATGATACAGATAATATTAGACATTAATATTTTAGATACAGGGGTAATGCTACTGAACAGTGATTTCTTGTAATCACCTTGTACTAATTATAATTGCCAACACATTTATCTTGTAAACATAAAGATGATGCTGAGTACTAGTTTCATTTAGTCATTTTGAATTATTTATAGATACACATTTGAGAAAATAAATAATGCTGCTGAATAGTAGTTGTTGTTTTAAACCTTGATTCTTTGGATACAAAGCTAATACTTCTATTTCATTGGTACTTGTGAACTTGTATTAATGTTAGCTATGCATGCATATTTGTCTGCTGGTTGCATAAAATAATACTGCTTAAAGCCATTAGTTACTAGTGATAATTATGGGTATAATTGAACTCAAATACAGTAATGTTGGGAGAAAAACAATACAGCACTGCTTCAGCAAGCATACATGTATATGTATATATATATATTTAACAGGCCATAATAGACCCAGTTCATACTCACTGATGTGTTAAGTTCCATGGTTTATTTTATATGGTTATTCATTTCAAAGTCATTCCATGTGTTTTTAAATAACAGTTGGTACTTTTAAACTGTCTTCTTATCAGATGTATACATATAAACAAATTAAACATTAATTCTTCTGTCAAGGTAATGTATGTTGCTAATATGCATGTGGTACTCTTTTTTTAAGGCTAACAAAGGAATGGTCACCTTTCAGTCTGAATTCTGAACTCTGGTGTGCATTAGCAGTTAAGAAACTTGAAAATGACCACTTTAGTAGAAGACTTTTCATCAATTGTAACACAAACATCATCTACCAATGAGTCAATTTCTGATGACAAAGATAATACCAGAGATTTGTGTGGGAATCCATCAGAGCCTTTCAAGTGTGAAATCTGTAACAAACTGTTTATATCTTCAAGTTTTCTTGTGTGTCACACAGACATCTATCATAAAGGTAACAGAGTTTTTTGTTTTTTTGCAAAACTGCTATATGTACCCTATGTAATTTATATTGTAAAGCAGAATGTAATATGGCAAACATACAAATGAATTCTATGGCTGCCATGAGTAGCTTATTTCCAGTATCTTCTAAATATAGCTGGGCACTTAACTAATTTTATTGATATAATCCATAAAATAATTGATTAATTGAAAATGATTAAAACAGTTAATGCTACAATGACAATCAACTAATTGATTAGTGTGTCCAGTTATTATTTTAGATTATTCCAACTATCCAAGTAATCAAAATATTTCCAGTTTGATTTCTCATTATTATTTTTGATTAATTAAAGGTTGTTCAATTTAAATGATTGGTGTCACAACTCAGGCAAATAATCAACTAATCTAAATTAATATTTCTGAACATTACTATTTGCAGTTATTTCAAATATTCAAGTCTTGTGAGAATAATTGATTAGTTGAATGTAATCAATTAATGATTCTGAGGATTAATGGATTATCAAATTCCACGAACTGCCCAGCTGTGCTTCTGAATGTAGCAAACTAAATGATTGCAATTAAAATTATTAAAAAATATATACACTGAACAGTAAATGCATGTTAAATATAACGTATATGTATATCTTTATATGAGGTGTTTTGTTTATATGTCTGTAACTGTCTCCTAAAGTTATATTGCAAAAAATACAAAATGCAATAAAATTAGATTAAGTTTAAATGTATGAGTAATAATTCATATAATTTTATAACTGAGATTTGTTTAGTGCAAAAGGCTTAGCACTAGTAACCATATTTCTTGTACTCCAGAATATTTACAAATGTGTTTATTTTTTGTTTTTTCAATGATTGATATAGATAAGGAAGAAGTGAATAAAGTGGAAAATGTTGAAGTTTCTGATGTTATACTAAACGAAGAATCTCCTCCTGATGGAGAAGTCATCAATGAATTTAAAGAAGAACATTCTCCTGACAGAGAGAAAATCAATGGTGCTAAGGATGAGAAACCTAAGTTTCATAGTAGTAGTTATTGTGATGAAGATAGTGTAAATTCTGAAGTACAACTTGATAAAATACAGGAAGACCAGTCTAACACTCGCAAGGCAATTGACAAAGCTGAAAATGTCTGTTCTGAAGAGCAGTTTTTTGAGGTAGGTGAGAATCAGGAGCTGAATGAGGAAAATAAGGATTTAGAAGAACATTCTGTGTGTGATATTGAAATGCATAAATGTGAATTTTGTGAAAAATTGTTCATTTCAGAGGATTGTTTATTAATCCATAAGAAACAACATAGTTTTTCAAGCTCTGATAAGCATAAATGTACCCATTGTATTTTCTCTGCTAAAAGTCACTCTAAGCTTTTAAGTCACTTAGCCACTCACCAAGATTATAAAGAAGATAAAGAACTCTTCAGATGCTTGGAATGTGGGAAAAATTTCAAAGAGGAAGTACGTCTTCGTCAACATCAAAAATTTCATGCCAATTTCCAACTAGTAAAGTGCAGCCTTTGTGATAGTATGTTCAGAAAAGGCTCTGGTCTAGCTACCCACATGAGAGCTCATCTGAAAAGTATTCCTTCTTCACAGTCATGTGAAAATGTTAAACTTAACAGACAGGAGATAATTGTAAGAAAGATTAATAATGCAGGAGATAAACGTTTTCACTGCTCTGTGTGTGATAAAGGATTTACTAGTACAAATAATCTTATGAAACATTACATAGCAAAGCATGATCCTAACAATCCAAATATTGCTTCTACATCATTCAAAATGCAAAAACAAGATGATGAAAAAGAAGAAGTTTTGTCTACTGATACCTATGCTTGTGAAAAGTGTGGAAGATTATTTACATCTTTGAAAATGTTGGAAGGACATAAGAAAAAAATACATCGAAATGAAACAGAAAACCAACGTTTTAGATGCCCTCATTGTAAATATTCTACAAATAAAACCAGAGACCTTAGAAACCACGTTGCTGTTCACACAAATGAACGACCACATCAGTGCAATCTTTGTGGGAAAGGATTCACAGAACAGAGTAGCTTACGTAAGCATGCTTTTACTCACACAGGAGAAAAACCTTATGTCTGTGATGTGTGTGGAAAAAAATTTACACAACGTGCACATTTAAAAGTTCACATGAGAATCCACAATAAAGAGAAACCATACCGCTGCCCATACTGTGAAAAAACATTTGCTTATCATAATGTACTAATTCGTCACCAGAGGTCTCATACAGGAGAGAGGCCATATAAATGTACCCTTTGTAGTAAAAGTTTTAAGAGCAATACTGCTCTTCAAAGCCATGAAATTGCTCAACACACCCATGAATATCCTTTCAATTGTACAGAATGTGGAAAAGGCTTCATACAGTTTGGAAATATGCAGGTCCATCTAAGGAATATACATAATATAGCAATTTATAAACTTAATGAAGACAATAGTTGATTCTTGATAATGTTTTGTATTTCAATTTCAGTTGTTTGTGTGTGTATGTATATATGCATGTTTGTGTGTATGCATGTATGTATATATGTATGTGTGTGTATATATGCATATCTATGTATGTGTGTGTGTGTATGTATGTATCTTTGTGTGTGTATATGTAAACTTTTTTTAATCACACATGCACTAGCCTGGCATTTAGGTCTACTATCCAACAATTTTTCAGACATGATCTACGACACGGTCATAGGAAACAGATTACTTTAAAAGTGTATTCAGTGTCTCCTACAAGTACAGTGCTCAATTTTAATTCTTTGTCATATACTTTTCTAACTCTTCAAACATAACTTAAGTAAAAACATGCTTTCAGTGCATGTTTACTTTCTCAAGCTGGTCAGTACTACATAGTTTCTTTGCTGGTGGTAAGTAGTAGTCTGGATTGATATTTAGCATGTTCATGGCACTTTTGAGATCAATTAGTAAGAGGTGAGAAGAGGCAGTTGGCTTACAATTTGATCCAGATGTATATATATCTAAACACAGTGGAATGTTTACTTATGTACTATATTTACATTTATACAGGGTTGTATATACCCATTCAGCTATCTGCCCATAGCAAGTGAAAGCTATGAAAATATAATTTTTCATTAAAGGATATTTGAAATCATGGATCTTGTTTCATTAAACCATTAAAAATCTTGTAATTTCATGTTAAAATTCAGTTTAACCAAGTCTTAGAGCCACCCACTTACAAATTTAAAACTAAGCACATGAAACTGAATTAACAAACCTAAACACACACATAAAGATTCTGTGTGAAAAGGCAGATCTATTTATTGAAGACAGTCAAAAATTGACTATGCTTGATATAGTACATGAGGTAATGACTGTTTTGTGTAATTACTCTTTGTACAGCAGGTGTTTGAGTAGTTAGAGAAAATGGTGATGCAAACTCATGTTAGGCTGAAAGTTATCCATTATTCCCAGAAAAATGGATTGAGATGGTATAATTTAGAAAATAATATAAAAACATTATCTCCACACTGTATACAGATATCTTTTTTTGTATACGTGTGTATTTGTTAAAAAAAAGTGATACTGTGTTAATGTTGAACATTACTGACTACATAATATTAAGTTCAAAGTGTTCGAACACACATGCTACATGAATCTAGCACTGTTGTACTATGACATTTTGCAAAGATATTTGGTAAATGTAACTTAAAATAGTGTGGTTACTACTTTCCAAGATACTGGAAAAAACTGAATAAAATATATACAATACAAGAAAGATTTCAGCTCGTGAAATCTATAGTTTTGTTTTTGCATTTAGACTGAACACAAGAAGGAGTGACATATTGTATATGTGTAAAAGAATTGGTACAGCATTTTATTATATATAACTGTACATTTTTTATTAATATATTAACAATATATGTAGGTGGTAGACATATCTAATATTGATTGGTAATACAAGGTGTAACATGGGTACATGTTGCAGAAGAAATGTTAACTCACAATAAAAAGGTCTCAGACTTTACTAACATGACCAAGACTTATGAACAATTAGGTATTTTGTCACTATGTTCAAGAACAAGGTGTTTACTATGCCACCTCTGTGCATTTGCAAAATTATGACCAGTATATACACGAGTACACTGTTCTACACAGCTGTTTGAAGAAACCATTCTCAATTTTTTTAAATTATGAGTGAATAAAATTGTTTCCTCGAAGTTATATTTCGTAATTTTTTGAACTGATCCATATTGTATTGGACTTGCTTTTTTGGCTATTAAATGAATATTTTTATTTTCATCAATTATTTAATAAAATGCTTACAACCCTAGTTTCATTGCTGATAATAAACATAACAGTGTTCTCAAAAACTCAATATTTCCATTTAATCACAAAAAAATGTGCATTAGTCACAACTGTATATATATAGTTGAAAAGATGATTTAGTACACAATTCATTTGACTATCAATATCTTACAGATTTTAATCTGAATTTAATGTTCACCCATTGTAATTCATATAAATATATTCCAGTACTTTTGTCTTCATTAGTATTTAGAATATAATTTTAAAGCTATGCTTTCTTTGAACCTGAAATCATGTATAAGATTTACCTGTGACTATTCGATTGAGTACGAATAAGTGTGCATAATGTGAATAACTTGAAGTAAGACCATTCAGTTCAAGCTTGACTTGATTTATGTATATATCTGTTGTTGTCCTTGTTATTAAATGTAGATGCATTTATATCTATACTTAATACATGAGTGTCATTAATATATTATATTGAAAACTGTTAAGAAAAGTTTGTTTAAACAAACAAGTATCATATTTTTAAGTGATATAAATCCTGCAGACTGGTAACATGTATTTTTGATTTTGCACATATTGCTGCGGAGCAAAGGTAATAGTGTTGACGGTTAATATATAGGAAATGTCTGTGAACTTAATATTGTTTCTATAGTAGAGTTAAGTGATTTAACAAACACTGAATTGAAGATACACTGCATTTTGTACTATGCACGATTCGGTTGGAGTTGTGAGAAAAGTCTGTATTGTGCACATTTTTTAGAGGTAAACTTAATCTACAAGAAAGTTTTTAAGATGAATGATGCTTTACTGTTGGAATTGTGTGATGGAAAATGTTGCCTTTACCTCTAACCAACTGCAGTTTTATTTTAATTGTAGCTCTGTTGTAAGTTTTTTGTACCATAACATCATTGTTATTATAAGTGAACTGCTGTAGACAGTATACTTTTCAGTGTTAACATCTTGAATTATGATACAGAGGCAAATTAAATCAATTCATTTAATTATTTCACTTTTCTGTACTGCTAGAAGTTTTATTCTGACAGTTTTTAGATCAAGAAGTTTATATTTAAAGATGCACATTTTTGTTTTGGCAAATACTCATCTGATAATGTGATTTACTGTTGTATGACTCAAATTAGATTAATTCATTTACCCAGTTTTTTCATAATGTTCTCAGTGCTACAAAGAGTATTGAACTCATGAAAGCAAAAGCTAATTTTCCTTAGTTGAGAAAAATAAGCCTATTATTGTGGCTTGGAATAGTTTATTATAAAAAGATATATATAAACAACTAAGGACAACTGGAGCACATTTTCTGGTCCATAGTAAAGAAGTGAAAATTTGGGATTTATTTTAAACATTAAATGTTATTAAGTTTATAATTTATTAAAAATTTACATAATAACAAATCATACTCAAATAATGTTTGAATCTTTACTAACAGGTGGCAGTTACATGCTGGAGATGATATTTGCTTGGCTTAGTAGTCAGTTGGAATTTGATAGTTGACATGTCTACATGTGTTTCACAAGTTTTGTTTTCTCACAGTTATCTGCATTACCAGTATTTGCAATATGAATACTCATAAGTATAAATATGGTGTGCAGACAAGAAGGAAAAAGAACTAGAAAAGAAAGGAAAACATTTTGTTTGACCTTGATGTTCAAGTGGTGTGATTGTCATCACAAGATATTTCTGTATTTCACAAGATGAATCAATGTTAGTGTCCATGGAACCAAAAGATGCAGAAAGTAACTAAGATAGAATTACCAGAACAGTTACAGCAGTTAAAGATGAAAATAGATTAGAACTGAATAATATTGAAACTGAAAAGACTACAGAATTAGAAGATGAAACCATAACCCTATCAAGTGATCCTGCAGACTGGCCAGAAGTTTTCGTTAAGAAGACTGTGAAAGATATTGTGATGCTCAGTTGTCCACAATTGGCTGACAAATTCACTGCTAAGTGGAGAGAAGGAAAAAAATGATCTCGGCTTTCATCTGCGTCGACTCGCAAGGAATATTTTGTTTGTGTGTTAATCTTATATTATTTTCCAAAGACATACACATTCTGGAATGCTATGCAAACGTTCAGGATTCTCTCTAAATGGAGCAAGTGGAGGAAATTATATGATGAGCTATCAGCACATAAGCATAACCCAAAATACAGAGGAGCTAATTTGAAGTGGATGTGTCTACACATCAATCTATGTGCGAACAGTAAAAGTGCAGTTGATCATGAACTACCACGGAGTATACACAATACAAAGCAAACGTGAATTGCATTACTTGAATTACTTCTCTATGCAACTCTTTCTTGCTGAGTGCAACTTGCCTTTTCAAGGTACATCATGTAACATAGGTGATTGTGATAATAGTGTTACGCCTCTGTTCGTTAGTTAATTTTCCGTAAAAATTATTTCCGAAGATACTTTAGCGATACAAGTCCTTTCTTAAATAAACTGGTTTATTCTTTCTAAATACAACTTTGCAATACACTTAATTTCCACGGTCACGCTATAACAAACGCTATCATCCACAACGAACGTATACGTCTCTCTCTCTGACCGCAGATCAATTACACATTACCTTGTTGCTGTCACTTCTTGACCGTCTTATATGTACAAGAATACCGAAATCTAGAAACCTCCCGAGGCTTCATGAGCGTTCCAGAAGCCTGTGACGTGTTACTAGTGTCACGTGACCTCCGCTGTCGTAACAATACTTTTATAGTTCTTGTGTGGATATTTTGCCTGCTACTACTACTATGAATCCTCAAACAGCTTGAAGAAGCTTACAATTTACATTTGTTAATTACATATTACAATTAGGTATTTATAAAGTCGTTAAATGTTTGTTGTTGTGTTACATTAATCTTACTCTTAGTGCAAAGCTTTTGTTTGATGTTAAGCGCAAAGCTACACAATGGGCTATCTGGGGACCAGTAAATGATAAACCTTAGTAAGTAAAATTAACTGTTAGGCTTATTTTCGTTTAATTATAACGTGTAGATTGTAGGCATAGATAGTGTGGATATGTAAATCAGGTTGTTCCAAATAAGCAAGCAAGTGACCCCATAACACATTTTAAACTGATAATGTGACATACCATTAAAAAAATTGGTGCCGAATTTTTCCAAACATTCTTATACAAATTGAATTTTCCAAAGTCTCTTAATTAAAAGAATAGTGTGTATTAGGCAGTTAAGTCTCTTTGAGTTTGATGTTCAATGTTTTGTTGAGTGTAATTTTAACTTCTATTCACAGTATATAACTGTTTCGATCTCAGGATGAAATAATTTTTCTATCATAACTTTAGGTGTTGCACTAGCAAGTTAAGTAACACCCTTCGTACTTATATGAGTTGGATGCATTCCAAACTAAGCTACTACATACTTATAAGGTAAACTTTTAACATTAACATGTATAGTATAAAGAGTTTTTTAAACAAATAATCCTACTGATAGTTTAATATTATCTAGTAACTACTTACAAAATAGTTTCTTTTTATGAATTGATTATAATTAGGATATGAACATTTTAAATGCCTAATTCTGGTTTGCTATAAATTATGTAAAAAATTTAATGCAGTGTTCTAAATTTATTTACATTTAGTGTATGAAGGGCACAATATACCAGTTTTTTACAATGTTACACCCAAAAGAAGATGCAGAAGTTTACCAGTCTTATAA